GCATTTATTTCAAGCTAGATACTCACAAGTTTAGAGCTACTGGGGTTGGTGCTGTGGCATAGTAGGTTAAGCCTCCGCCTCAGTGCCAGCATCCCATATAGGTGCCAGTTCTAGTCCTGGCTCCTCTACTTCTGAACAAGCTCCCTGCTAATGTGCCTGGAAAAACAGCAGATGGCCCCTGCACCCATATGGGAGACCCGGAAGAAGCTTCTGGCTTCTGGCTTCGGGTTGGCCCAGTTCTAGCCATTGTGGCCATATGGGGAGTGGATGGAAGATCTCTCTCTCTCTTTCTGCCTCTCCCTCTCTCTCTCTAACTCTGCCTCTCAAATAAATAAATCTTTGGGGAAAAAAAAGTTTAGAGCTACTATAACTTGCTGGTGAATTAACCACTTAATCGAGGCACTCAACTATCACTAATATACATTTCTGTCATAAAAGCCCTCTTTGTCCGATAGGATTATGGCTTTGCAAACTTTCTTTGGTTAGTGTTTGCTTATATCTTTTTCATCCTTGGATTTTCAATCAGTTCCATACCATAATGTATTAGATGTGTCTCTTATAAACTACACAGCTGAGTGTTTGATGTTTTAAAACTCTAACCTGATCATCTTTTTATTTTTTATTTATTTATTTTTTGACAGGCAGAGTGGACAGTGAGAGAGAGAGACAGAGAGAAAGGTCTTCCTTTGCCGTTGGTTCACCCTCCAATGGCCGCCGCGGCCGGCACGCTGCGGCCGGTGCACCGCGCTGATCCGATGGCAGGAGCCAGGTACTTCTCCTGGTCTCCCATGAGGTGCAGGGCCAAGCACTTGGGCCATCCTCCACTGCACTCCCTGGCCACAGCAGAGAGCTGGCCTGGAAGAGAGGCAACCGGACAGAATCCGGCGACCCAACCAGGATTAGAACCTGGTGTGCTGGCGCCGCAAGGCGGAGGATTAGCCTAGTGAGCCGCGGCGCCGGCCTAACCTGATAATCTTTATCAATAAACTGTAATTAACTCCTTTCATCTTTGTTGTGAGCATTCAATTTGGACTTCTTTTTTTTTTTTAAAGATTTATTTATTTACTTGAGAGGCATAGTTACAGAGAGAGAGAGAGAGAGAGAGAGAGAGAGAGAGAGAGAGGTCTTCCATCCTCTAGCTCACTCCCCAAACAGCTGCAATGGCCAGAGATGGGCCTATCCAAAGCCAGGAACCAGAGGCTTCTTCCAGCTCTCCCATGCAGGTGCAGGAGTCCAAACACTTGGGCCATCTCCTGTTGCTTTCCCAGGATATCAGCAGGGAGCTAGATCAGAAGTGCAACAGCCAGGGCTCGAACCAGCACCCCTATGGAATGCTTAACCTACTACGCCATAGTGCCAGTCCCCAATTTGGACTTCTTAGTACCATCTTATTAAAGATTTACATTACCCTTCTTTTTCTATGCTTTCCTCCTTATTTACTTTTTAAAAAGATTTATTTATTTATTTATTTGAAAGAGTAACACAGAGAGAGAAGGAGAGGCAGAGAGGGAGAAAGTGAGAGAGAGAGAGAGGGAGGGAGGTAGGGAGGGAGGGAGAGAGGTCTTCCATCTGCTGGTTCACTTCCCAGTTGGCTGCAACAGCTGGAGCTGGGCCAACCTGAAGCCAGGAGCCAGGAGTTTCTTCCAGGTCTCCCACACAGGTACAGGGTCCCAAGGACTTGGGCCATCTTCTACTGCTTTCCCAGGCCACAGCAGAGAGCTGGATCAGAAGTGGAGCAGCCAGGTCTTGAACCGGCGCCCATATGGGATGCCATCCCTGTAGGCAGTGGCTTTACCCACTACACCACAGCACCGGCCCCCTCCCCTCCTTATTTACTTTTTTTAACTGATAGAGAGTTGTTTTTATATTATTATTATTTTTTATTTTTTTGACAGGCAGAGTGGACAGTGAGAGAGAGAGACAGAAAGGTCTTCCTTTGTCATTGGTTCACCCTCCAATGGCCGCTGCGGCCGGTGCATCGCGCTGATCCGATGGCAGGAGCCAGGTACTTATCCTGGTCTCCCATGGGGTGCAGGGCCCAAGCACTTGGGCCATCCTCCACTGCACTCCCTGGCCACAGCAGAGAGCTGGCCTGGAAGAGGGGCAACCGGGACAGAATCCGGCGCCCCGTATATTATTTTTTAAAAGATTTTTTTTAATTTGAAAGGCAGAGCTACAAAAGAGATATATCCTCCAACTGCTGCTTCACTACACAAATGTCCACAGCAGAACAGCTGGGGCCAGGCCAGCCAAAGCCAGGCCAGAGCTCCATCCTGGTCTACACAAGTGGCAGTGGCCCAAGTACTTGGACCATTTTCTGCCTCTTTTCCCAGGCACCTTAACTTTTCCCAGGAAAAGTTGGAAGCAGAGCAGCCAAGACTCCAACCAGCACTCCCAACACCTGTCCCTATTTCAAAACATTTTAACCCTTTCTAATGCTTTAGAATTTATATACTTGCTGTATATACTTGTCTTCCTTGAAATTTTACCGTGCTCGTGTAGCATCTATTAACTGACAAATCAAAATGATATGCATATTTATATCTATATGATGTTTTGACATACATAAGAATGACTAACTGGCTAATTAACATATGCATAACCTCGTTGTCATTTGCTTTTGTGGTGTGAAGATTTAAAGCCTGCTGTCTTAGCAGTTCTCAAGTATGCACTACAATGCTGTTAACTGTAGTGACCACGCTGTGCCTTGTGTCTCTAGGACTTACTCCCCTTGTCTGAGATTTTCTGACTTTTGATCAACATCTCCCCTCCCCTGCCCCAGTCCTGGTGACCCCCATTTTACCCTCTACTGCCATGAGTTCCACCTTTGTAGATTCCACATACAAGTGGACCCTGTGGTGCTGAATGGTCAGAATCATCTCTAGCTGCTTAACCCAGCCTACCACCCATCAAGTCCACCCCTCACCCACAGCTAGCCATCCGCCCACCATGGTTCTGATCCCCTTCTAGCTTGGGTTACATGGTTGTCCTCCCCAGCTGCTGCTTGGTGGGCCATGTGCACCTATGTCAGGCCCAAAAAGGGAGGGACATGTTCCTATCAGCTCTGATTCAGGAGGCCCCAGGCCCAGCTCCCACTGCCCAGCCATGAAGCATCGTTGGCCTCTTTTATGTTGTGAGTCCAGTCTCCTGGCCTGGGGCAGATAGGCAGGGACCAGCAGTAGAAGGAAAAGCTATGCTGGGCAGACAAAAGCAATTGGTCCATTTAGGACCTAAGGACAGGACTTCACCCAGCTTTTTTGGGTTGTTCACCAGCGCTAGTCATTGCTTTCATTCACTCACTGATCCATCCACCCACCCCCCACTACCAACCCAGCAGTTAGGCAGCACTGGCTGTGTGCCTGCCAGCGTCCCACACCAGGTGGATGTGGCATGCCCAAGACTCGGCTTCTGCCCTCCTGGTTGACGAGGTGGAAGATGATGTATAAGCTGTTAGACTGCAGCAAAGGGATGGCTGCCTGCCCAGGAGGGGTGGGAGGGATCACGGGAGGAAGCAGTGAGGCAGGAGCTGGGGCCTGTGCATGCTGGGCAGCACCTGTGGGCGGCAGACAGGTCATCTGGACACCTCTGGAGAAGGCACCAGGCCTAGGCCCTGCCGAGTGTGCTCCCGGGTGTTTGGAACTCTCCAAGCATGGATCAGCCACCGTCCGCCACTCCCTTATGGCAGGCAGGCCCTAGAAATTTGCTCTGCCTTCTCCTATCCAGCATTTCCCTCCTGAGGGTCTCTGGGGAGCCCAACCCTGAACCATCCCTCACTTGCTCCCGCCCTGGGTCACCAGACCTGGCCCTCAGCCCCAGTGACTTCACTCTTTACTGGGATATGTGACCTCTCTTTCTGGGCCTCGGTTTCCCCATCTGTGGGATGAGGACAATAACCGTGTGTACTTCACAGAGCTAGGGGAGGAACTACAGCAGTCCCACGTACCTACAGCATTGGTTTCTGCAGCTTTGTGACCTGTAGTCAGCCGAGGTCGAAACATACTAGTCGAGAATTCTAGAAATAAATTTGAAATTGGGTGCCATTCTGAGTAGCATGGTAAACCCTTGTCCATCCTGCTGTGTCCTGCTCAAGACGTGATCATCCATTTGCCCAGTGTCTTCTTGCTGTATATGTTACCTGCCCCATTGCGATTGAGAGACCACAGTCATGTGGATTTCAATACAGTATATTATTACAACTGTGCTAGCTTGTTGTTAGTCGATGGTGTTAATCTCTTACTGTGTCTGATTTAGAAACTGAACTTCATCGTAGGTATGCAGGTATAGGAAAAAACAGTATATATAGGGGTTGGCACTATCAGGCCAACCCCCCAATGTTCTTGTGTGCCCGGATTGCTGGGGACCAATGTGTGATTCATTCCCCGAGGCTCTGAGCCTCATGGTCACCCTGAATCAGCTGTGTAAGGGACAGGTTTAGGTTGAAAATGAAGTGGGTTGTTAAGGGTTACACAGACCTGAGTTGGGCATTTAGCAGGAGAATCTCAAATTCCTGCCCTGGTTTCCTTAGAAAAGCCCAGGCCCCTGCCCCTTTGGCTAGTGGATTGTGTGTCCTGACTTTGGATATTTTCTTCCTGGAGGGGACCCGACATTGTGTCCTGTGGAATTTGAGGGTCCCTGGATCTGCAGCCTGCAGGCCTCATTGTCATCTGTGTACCCACAGCACTCTGCAATCCCATGTGCAAATGTGTTACTCACGCGCATACACATGCTTGCCTTTGTGCGTGCATCCATCACTTGCTGTGTTCCCTGCACAGGGAGCAGGCAGGAGGACTAGGACACGCCCCTGCTTATCAGCTGCTTTCCAGCTTCCTCTGCCTGGATTCTTGGAGGCCCGGAGGCTGGGAGCTGGCTGGTGCGTGTGGCTTCCCAAAGGCTGCTCAGATAATGAGAGGAAATGTGGTCATCAGCTCGCAAAAGGCGGGGATTATAGGCCGTGGCTCCAGACCGCCACTCCCTGACCTGTGCCCTTTGTCTCCCTCCAGGCAGCCCTCGGCCATTCCCTGGGAGCCTGTGGACGCCACCTGAGATGTCTCCTTTTGGTTGCTCGGGCCTGCTTGTGGCCGTCCTCGCCCTGCTCTGCTGCCCAGGTGAGCCGGAGCCCCAGGGTTCCTAACGTGGCACATGTGGCCTGGGGTACAGGCTGCCCCGCTTCTCTGGCTTCAGTGGGGAGGGAGGTCGGGGCCCCACCATTGCTGAGGCTTTGAAAATGGGGCCAGTCTGCCATGGATACAGGATGCTGTGCAGGCCTGCTTCCTGTCCCCATGGGCCTTGTGGACACCAAGTGGAACAGACTCCACGGTGCTATTTCTAAGGGAAGACGTGGTCATGGAGGATGAACGGTGGCTGGGTGGGGCCTGGGGAGCTGCAGGGACGCAGGGTTCATGTGAAGAGGAGGGCATGCACCCAGCGGGTCTTTAGAAGGGGCCTGGGGACAGCAGGGGGCAGCAGAGGAACCAGCTTCTGGCTGTGGTCAGAGCAAAAATGAAACCCCTGTCAGTGGGCCAGGGGCCTGAAAAGGAAAACGGCGCCCTTCTCAGACCGCCCGCCGGGCTGTCTTGCTGAGCCCCAAGGGAAAGCCGCACCAGTCTGTTTGCCATGAGGAAGGCAGAGGGGCTCGGGAGAGAAGGCACTTTATCCAAGGCCACAGGGACAGTACATGGCCAATTCTGGATTCAATTCCAGTGCTATCTGCCTGCAAAACCCCCTCCCTGTCACTTCCTTACATGTCGCCAGCTGAGGGCTGTGTGGGGACATGCGGGTGGGGGGACCCCAGACACAGGGTGGGATCTAGCACCTTTCTGGTCGTTGCTGGGTGGAGGCGGGCATCAGATACTTCCTACATGTACAAAGCCTGGTCCCGCTCTCTGGAAGCTCCAAAAAGATTAAGGAGCCCCGGTGTGAGTAGGAATCGTTAGTCCACCAGGACAGTTTCCGGAGGTCCACTACTTTTCTGGTCTCCTCACTGTGCCCCCCCCCCCCCCCCGAGAGCCAACCAGCCTGATCTCCTTGCTCCAAACACACAGAGCCCACTCCCAGCCCAGGGTCTTCACACTAGCAGTTCTCTTCCCTCAGGACATTCTACGGGGCTCGCCAGCCCCTTCCTGATGTCACCGTACAGGTGAGGCCTTTGCCAGCCACACTGTCTAGAATGACACCCTCAGCTGCCCCCCACACACACACAAACCCACCCTGTCCCACAGGCTGGGCAATCCACTTGTTGTCTGTGGTGGTCTCGTGCACCAGAACGTGTACCCAGGGCGGGGTTGGCTCTGCTTGGCTCACTGCTGCCTCCCCCCAGCACTGCTGGCTCCTCAGAGCCTAGCACCGTGCCTGGTACAAGTGCTCCAAGCGTGCTTAGGGAAGAAAAGGAAGCAAGGAGGGAGGGGTTAAACCCAGAGTCCCAGGAGCTCAGAGTACACAGAGTTCATGTCCATCCTCAGTGAGGTGAGAGAAGATACTCATCTTCATGGAGATGCAAATGAGTACAAGACTGCCCTGGAGCTGATGGGTCTGACCGGCTGGAGGAAGGACTGTCCCGAGGCTGGGAGGTCTCCCCATGAGGCCCTCGGCCTGCCCAGGGAAGGGAGCAGAGGGCATCCAGGGCCCTGCTCAGGTTCCCGACCTTGATCCCGACTGCTCCCCTGGCAGAGAAGTGGGGACGCCCCTGCCCAGTATATCTTGTGTGCCAGGGTCTGGTGAGGAGACGTTCGAAGTGCGCATGTGGCCAGAGAGGCTGGTGGTCGAGCCCAGGGGGTCCTGGGAAGTCAACTGCAGCACTAGCTGCACCCAGCCGGAGATGGGGGGCCTGGAGACCACCCTGACCAAGACCCTGCTGGACTCGCAGCCCCAGTGGAAGCGGTACTTGATCTCCAACGTCTCCGAGGACACGGACCTCCAATGCTACTTTCTTTGTGCCGGGAAGCATCAGTCAAAGCATCTCAGCATCATCGTGTACCGTGAGTGGCTGCGCCACGGGGTCCCTCTCCCCCAGCAGGGCCTGGCTCTGCTGCACATCTCCAGGGTGTGCTCCTCCATGAGCTTCTGGGTGACAAGGAGCAGGGCCGGGCCAATGGCTCGGAATCCACTCCTTACCTTGATTGGGTGCGTCAGGCTCGCCGCTATCTTAGAAGCAGGCCACCCAGCTTTTGAGTCCTGCTCTCAGGAGGGAAATGGAACCAAAGTTCGCACAGACTCAAGAGTCGTTTCCCAATGCAGCATTCCTAGTTTCTCCCCGCTGCTCCATCACAGGAGCAACCCACGTGCACGACGAGCACTGGGCCTGCTCCCCAGCGGCCCCTTGGCTGCAGGAAGAGAAGGTCAAGGACTCCCTCCAAGTATCTGTCTTCCCCCAATGGACAGACTGATGGCAAATATGTGCCCAGGAGCCGTGAAAGCCATTCAGAAAGGCCAGGATTCTCCCAACACTCTGGCTCCAAAGCTGTGCTTGGGTCCTCCCCCCTCACCCCCCGCCAACCCCTGTGGTTGAACCCAACAGAAAGGTCTCCGAGACCCCAGATGATCCTGGGGTTGGGGAGGCCGGGAGGTGAGAGGCACTAGTTCAAAGTGTGCTTTCGGGGGCCCTACTTAATAGTGAGGAAACCATGGTGGTCATGAACCTGCTCCTGCAGGAGCCAGGGGGTCTGACTCCAGCCCCCGCCTCCTCTGCAAGGAACCTCGCAGTTCCTGACCTCGTTCCAATGAGCGCTACCTTCTAAGTCTCTCCACTTAATTATCCAGCTGTTTACTTTTCGAAATTTGTATTTCATTTCTGGAAGGGATGGATACAGACCCAATTGTTTACATCTTTCCAGCTGACCATTCGATTCCTGGGCCTTTTATAGACACCTGACTGCCTCCTTCCTGTCTAGTCTAGGAAAACCTCCTCCCAGTATGTCCTTCACCTGAACCGCTTACTTCTGCCTCTCTTCTTACTCCAGCAGGCTAGGCCCCAGTCCAGTCCCTCCTCCGCACACCCATCCAGGGGCCCAGAAGCTGTGGCAATGGCATAGCCCTGGCCAGGTGGGGCCCCTGGGACAGCCACCCGTATCTTGACCAGACCCTCTTCCCTTGTCCCCTGCAGAACCTCCAGAGCAGGTTGTGCTGAAGCTGCAGCCCACGTGGGTGGCCGTGGGCAATTCCTTCACCATTGAGTGCAGGGTGCCTGCTGTGGAGCCCCTGGAGAGCCTCACCCTCATCCTGCTCCATGGCAACAAGACCCTGCACAACCAGACCTTTGAGGGAAGAGCAGCTGTGCCCCAGGAGGCCACGGCCACACTCAGCAGCACAGCTCACCTGGAGGACAGGAAGCACAATTTCTCCTGCCTGGCCCAGCTGGACTTGCGGTCTCGCGGCGGGGGCGTCTTTCACTGGGTCTCAGAGCCCCAGATGCTGGAGATCTATGGTGAGGGGGCCTCAGGACAGTGGGGTTCCATATAGGGCACTTGCTTTCAGCCTCCCGGGGAAACACAAAACCAGAGCCCCTCCTCCCCCCGAGCCAGCATGGGATACAAGCACCCAGGACCCTACACTTAACCTGGAGCATTCCAGAGGCTGGCAGAGCTCGACTTGTTGCTTGGCCATTAGTGAGCTGTGTGACCAAGTCCACCTGCTGTCTCTGGCCTTGGCCTTGCACTTCAATGACAAGGTCCCCAGAGCTCTGCTCTCCTGTGACTCTGGAGAGCCGTGGTACTCCTGGCCTTCAGGGAACGTAGCACAGAGCTCATACAGCTCTGTCCAAGGAGGGGCTTGGCCTACGCCGTGCTGGTCCCAGGGGCTGCTGGTAGGGGGCCTCTCCTAGACTTACCCAGGTCAGGCTGGTCCTAACTAACACTTTGGGAGCAGACACCATGTGTCACTCATCTCTGCAACTCAGACGACTGCAGGATGAATGAGTGGGTGCCAGGTGATGATGGGGGGCCCTCCTGGGGCCCTGGCTCCTGCGCCCAGAGCTCTCCTAAGACCACTGCCCTTCGTCCCCAGAGCCCATGCCGGACAACCAGATGGTCATCATCATCACGGTCGTGTCGGTCCTGCTCTTCTTGTTCGTGACATCCGTCCTGCTCTGCTTTGTCTTTGGTCAGCACTGGCGCCAGAGGCGCACAGGCACCTATGGGGTGCGAGCTGCTTGGAGAAGGCTGCCCCGGGCCTTCCGGGCACAGCCTGCATGAGCAGCGCAAGGCCCTGCTGTGGCACCACTGGAACTCAGGGGCCATCCTCGGGGAGGTGGAAGGACTGTGACCAGCAGCAAAAGACTTGGGGAAACTCCCTTTTCTAACCTGAATACAAACACCTGGACTCAACCCTGTGTCTTCCATGTCTGCTCCTGGGATAACTCAGCAGCTGGGAAGGCAGGCACAGACTGCTGTCCCCAGATGCATCCCTCCGCACCTGCTCCCAGCTCCCAGGGCAGCCCCTGACAGACTGGCCCAGGCCGCAGACACACATGCTATCTGGCCAATTCCTACTTGGGGAGGGTGGAGAAACCCCAAGCCCAGTGGGGCAGAGGGGGCACTGTGTTCCCACGTGGTCTGCAGACCTCAGCCACTTCTAGTGGGAGAAGGACCCGGCTCCGACTCTCCTTTTAGCCAACCAAGACTGCTTCCTGCACTGAGGGGCCCCAAGGGAACTGGCTCAGCTTCAGGGCTCATCCCAGTTCGGCCTTTCCCTCACCCTGGGCCCATCTGTCTCCTGTGGGGGTCCTCAGAGACCCAGGGTAACAGAAGCAGCCCTGACTCCATCCTTGGGCCAAAAGGAGACATCCCGGCCCGAGCTCCTGTCATCCCAGGCTGGGGACTGGGGGAAGGGCCGAAGCTCTGGTGCCCAGGCCTCTCCTGGTCAGGCGGGCAGCAGTGGGCGGAGTTGGGCATCCGTGGTTTCCAGGCCCTGCACGGGGCTCTAGGGAGCTCCTGCAGAACTCAGTGGGGTGGGGGCCTGAGCCAGCAGGAGCAGAGGCCTGGCAGGGGCGGAGAGGTAGGGAGGGCGGCCAGCCATGGGTGCAGTCAGCAGGCGACAAGGGGCAGCAGGACGACACAGGCGAGGCCCTGGGTGTCTCGCTCCTCAGAGTAGGCTCTCAGCATCGTAGTAGTCTGGGGAGACAGCGCGCGAATTGTGACTCCCTCTCGCCTCACTGGACCCCGAGGAGGAAAAGGGGAGGGGCAGGCCCATTGCCCGCAGCAGCAATGGCAGGAGGCCCCCTACCCCACCCCAGGATACATGGCCCTCCTGCCCCGACTACCCACAGGCCCCGGATTTGTGGCCTGCTTCCCACCTGAAGCTGGAGGTACATCTGCGCCCACAGTCCCTGTGGCACTGGGGGGCGGGGGTGGAGGCACGGCTCTCCTGAGATGGCAGAAAAGAAAGACCCCCATCAAAGGCCCAGGGCTGGCCTCTGGGGTTTCCCCCTCCAGCCCCAGAGTGGGAACCTGGCCACACCCAGACCCCTTCCACGCAGCCTCACTTACCCCTCCCTCTTCCTGGAGGCAGGAGGACGGTGCTGAATCCTGGGTGCATCCTGCCAGTGGTGCTGATGTGGCGGAGGGGGCAGGAGAGGGGCCGGCCAGGCTGGCAGGGGGCCCAGGGAGGGCAGTGGGCAGGGCAGGTAGTGGTGGTGGAACACCAGAGGCCTTTGGTCTTGGGCGCCCAGTTCCTCCTCCTCCAGCTCTCCCTGCTGAGCCTCTGGGAAGCCCTGGGGAGTGTGCACACCAGGGAGGGGAGACAGACGGGCTCAGGCTCCTCCCACCGCTCTGTCCTGCTCCCTAAACTACTTTCTCCAGATGGACCTGTGCATCCACAGCAGCGTGAAAGGCGCCAGGAGACATTTGCTCCCTCTTGCAGACAGGAACACAGGGTCAGGGTGGAGCGACTTGCCTGAGGCCACCCAGCCAGTCAGTGGCAGAGCAGGGCCGGGGGGGGGGGGGGGACCAGAGGTGACTGCAGCACTGGGGCTGGGAGTCCACCCAGCTGCCCTTGGCCTCACCCGGCCCTGGACCACCTAGGCCCCATCAGTGAGGTGGGCTGCTCATCCCAAGGGCCCCTGAGGGTGTGAGGGGCCCCAGCAGCACCACCTTGAACCCCTGTCTCTTCTGTCCCCCAAGCCTCCTTTCTTCCAGTCTCTCAGGACACCCAGGGTTGGCTCAGCCTTAGAATCTCCCTCACCCCTCCGCCAGGATGGTGGACACATGCCTCAGCTCCTCCAAGGGTCAGCATCCTCCCTGGCTGTCCAGGCAGGCTCCAAGACCACCCGTTCCCCTGCACAGCACCTGACCTCAGCCCACAGCCAGCTGTGCATTTGCATTTTGTGCCACTCATGCCAGTCACAGCCCCGTGCCTCTCTGTTCAGCCAGTCCTGTATCCATCACTTGCCCAGCGAACACCTCAGTAAGCGTCAGGCACAGCCCTGGCACCTACGACCTGCTGGTGCGGGACCCAGGTCCAATGTGCCTGCGCTCCCAGGGCCTCAAGTCCAGCTGGGGTGCCCTGCAGGGAACCTCCTTGAAATCCAATCCCCGGTGGTCTGGATTTGGGGGCAAGGGCGCCCTCTCCTGGGCCCCTGGAGACCGCCACCGGGCCTGGCACACAGCAGACCCAGGCAGCAAGGTGTGGGCTGGCTTCCTGCTCCTTTTCCTCCAGGGATGACCCCCATGCATCTCACTACCGGGGCCCCAGGTGGGCGGCCTCGCTGGCCACACCGCCACGCACCTGCGGGGCCGGGTGAGGCGGGCGCGGAGTCCAGCGCCCCCTCGGCCAGGCGGCAGAGCAGCAGCTGGTGCACCTGCGCGTTCTGCAACAGCAGCAGCTCCAGCAGCCCTGGGCGGGATTCAGCGAGACACCGGGTCTGCGCGCGGTCTCCCCTCCCCGCCACCCTGCGCGACCCCACCAGCCGTGCGCCAGGACTGCGAGAGAATGTGCGGGCCAAGGAGGGCGGGGGAGTGACCGGAGTCTCACCTTCCTTCACGCGGCCCGGCTGCGGCGGCTGCGGCGGGGCGGCCCACGGCGGGGGCTGCACGACGGTCACCCAGGGCTGGGGCGGGCGGGGGGGACTCAGCCGGCGGCGAAGGGGTCGGGTGGACCGCCACCTCCAACCCCCCACCCCGCCGGCGCAAGGTGCCCCAACCCCGCAGGCGCCCGGCTCTGCCTTTCCCGCCCCAGGTCTTTTCCTCTGTCTAGGGTCTCTCCTCACCCCCTCCCCACCATTTCTCCCAGGGTGCAGCCCCTGCACAGGCCGCCCCCAACTCTGCCGTCCCGCCCAGCGCAGCCCTCACCGTCGGGGCAGCACCCGGTGCCGTGGTGCGACCCCAGCTCCCGCCGGCCCCGGAGGCCATGGCCCGCAGTGCTGGGTCGGGTTACCCCGGCTACACTGGCGACGCCTAGTGCTCCTGCCACGCAGGCGCGGTGCCTGTCCTGGCCCCTGGTGCCCCAGGCATGGGTCCAGGTCGTACTCCAACCCTCCTCTCCTCCCGGGCCGCCGGGTCCCCAATGTCCGTCTCTACCCATGGGGCGGGGCTCCCCGGGCATCTGGCGCACACCTGCCTGCACCTGTGGCCCCTGCTCGTCCCCAGCGGGGCCCGCGTTTGCTGAGTGAATGACCGATTGGCTAGAGAGGTTTGGTTTCTGAGTCGTGGAGCCTGACCTCAGCCCGTGGGCTCAGCGCGAGTGGAGAATGTGTAGGTGAGGGGGGCCCGGGACCCGCTCCCTGCCGAGAGGCGTCCTCGGGCAGAGTGGTTTCTGGGGAGACCGAGGGAGGAAACACCAGCCCATCTCCCCAGGAGTCTGGGGCCAGGAGCTCGGCGGCTCCTCGTGCCCCACTGCGGCCCTGGGCTCCCTGGTTCCCGGCCGCGGTCACTGCTGCTCCGAGGCCGGAGGCTGGGGGTTCAGCCGCAGCACCCTCAGCGCCGGCCCTCGGACTGGAAAGTTCCCGAAGCCGGCATTCTTCTGGGCGGAAGCTCGCCAGCTCGGCATTGCTTAGGAACAGGTGAGCGGGAGATCCGTTTCCGCAGCTGTGGCAGTCCTAAGATAGGCCCTGAGCAGCAGGCAGGGAGAATCCGGACAGGAAGCTGGGATTAGCACCCCGAGTCGCCCGCCCCCACCCCCTCTCTGGTCAACTCCGCTTCCTGGCATCCTGGACCAGAAAGCCCTCTCCTAGCTCCTCAGGGCTCCTTCCACCCTGGCTGCAGGGCAGGGCCTGTGGCGGGCATGAGCCGTCCCCGGGCGCCGGGGCTTAGCCTTGGACAGCGTGGGCAAGCTGAGATGCGGGCCTGTGTCGCAGGCAGGCCCGCGGTGAGTGGCACAGAGAAGTGTGTCTCTCTGGGTGCACCCTCAGTCCAGATAGCAAGAGGAAGGAGACCAACTAGTGTGCATTGTGCTTCCCCACCCAGCGCCCCCAACAAACCTCTGCCAGGGAAGAGCCCGCGTGGAAGCTGCCCCGCTCATCCATGGGGACACAGAGGGATCCTCCCTGGGTCCAGCATTGTGGGAAAGTGAAAACAACTGGAGCACAAAAATGCTAGTCAGGCCAAGTCCCTGATGGGTGAGACTTGTAATAAGCACTGATGAAAACGAGAGGACATGGCTGGCGCTGTGGCTCACTAGGCTAATCCTCTGCCTGCGGCGCCGGCACTCCGGTTTCTGTCCCGGTCGGGGCACCGGATTCTGTCCCGGTTGCCCCTCTTCCAGTCCAGCTCTCTGCTGTGGCCCGGGAGTGCAGTGGAGGATGGCCCAAGTGCTTGGGCCCTGCACCCACATGGGAGACCAGGAGAAGCACCTGGCTCCTGCCTTCGGATCGGTGCAGCGCGTTGGCTGCCGTGCACTGGCTATAGCAGCCATTTGGGGGGTGAACCAATAGAAGGAAGACCTTTCTCTCTCTCTCTCTCTCACTGTCTAACTCCACCTGTCAGAAAAAAGAGAGAGAGAGAGAGGACCCCAGCGCTGAGGGGCGGCGTTCCTAGGAAGGTGGCCCTTGGAGTGAGCCAAGCAACTTGAGACGGAGGATGGAGTGGACAGTAGGGACACGGCTGAGTTCAGGTCACAGGCGCAGGAACAGACAGGACCTGAGATGATCCAGCGCGTGCACCTGCCTGGCTGTGGGAGAGGAGCTGACACGGGCCAGACCTGGACGCTAAGTCATGATATGAGGGCGGTGCTGTGTGGCCCGTGGAGCGCCGCGGGAGGGTTTCAAGCAAGAGAGAAATAAGGGTGAAGTTCACCGCCCTGGGTAGGAAGATCCACTTGTTTCCCACATCTTTGTTACTGGTGGGTCTGTATTCTTCCAGTGGAGTACTGTTCAGCCATTGCCGACTTGGTATGGAATGTCTCACCGATGTGGAATGATATCGCAGGGAGTTGAGCAGGAAGCACACTAAGATCTCATTTTTTGCTTTTTTACTTAAAAGCGTATGTATGGATGTGTGTATGTGTATGAGGTACTGCTACAAGGGCATGGAGGGGTGGGCGTGGTGGCTCAGCAGGTTAAGCCTGGGCTTGGATCCACACGCTTCACAGTGGGATTGCCTGCTTGGAGGCCCCTCCTCTGCACTTCAGATCCAGCTGCCTGCTGGTGCGCCTGAGAGGCAGCAGTACAGCCCAAGTATTGGGTCCCTGCCACCCACATGGGAGACCTGTGTGCAGTCCCTGGCTCCTGGCTTCAGCCTGCTCCAGTCCCAGCTGTTACAAGCATTTGAGGGGTGAACCTACAGATGGAAGATCTCCTTCTCTCTTTAAAAAAAAAAAAAAGTTGATGGAAAATGGAATGGAAAAGTAAGTTTATTTTGGTGTACATCCATGCACAGTTTTTTGATAATGCACATTTTGCATGAAATTTTTAATACCCTTTATATATACACATGAATCCCCAACTATTTCTGCACCCAAATAAACTTATCTTTTAATTTCAGTTTTCCATGAACTCTCACATTTTCAAAAACAAGGCTGAGGTTAAAAAACTTTGGCTTCAGGTAGTCGATTAGTGTTCCTTGTCACAGGAAACTGAAGCATTGGCCATTTGAAGAAAGGAAAACCATGCACGTATCTGCCTGAGCCATTTTGTTTATAGAAGATTTCGCATCAGGCCTGCCGTCGGGAGCTGCTTCCCGGCTCCTGGCCCTGCCTGCTGCTGTTTCCTGAGACCCTGAACGCTACACCTGTTGCACTTTCATTTTTCCCCTCTCAATGGAGACGCTTGTTTACATCTTTGGACATTGTTTTTTTGATTTTTTTATCGTATCCTGGGACAATTTGTACCAAAATTTAGTGTCCCAAGATAACTTGTCCTCCCTGTTGCCATGGTGATTCTATTTCTGGGAATAAGCTAAACAGGGAAAAAGATTTATACTCAAATGTGTTCATCACATGTGTTATTTTTAAGAGTTAAAAACTGAACATTACTCAATGTCCAATAATAGGGGTTGTTGAGTAAGGGAAGGCAGTGCACTCAGAGAGTCGAAGGCTGGGCTCCTCTCTCCTCGGCTGCGGCAGGAGAGGATCAGGTCCTCGCTGAGATGCGAATGGACATTCAGGGCAGTGAAGAAGGACCATTGAGAGCGTGACAGCTCAGCAGCAGGCCCTTTCCTGGGACGCAGTTCCTAAAGAGGCACACGTTGGAAGGGACTGGAGTATGAAGGTTGGAGGAAGGGGACTACACACTGTTCGGCAGAATCGGGGGACGGCTTGGCACGTGGGAGGGAAAGAGCCTTGAGAATACAGCGGGGAAGGAGCTCCGTGTTTCTCACTGCAGGCTCTGACTTCAAGCTGTGCGGATGCTCGTGAGACGCACGCGTACTTCGGGAACGTACAGAGCACGCTGGGAGATCGCTCTGTGTATTCGTCCACTTTCTGATACTATAACAAAATGCCTGAGGTTCGGCATGTTACAAAGGAAAGAGGTTTAGTTTGGCTCCTGCTTCTGGTCCAAGGTCAAGAGCCTGGATCTGGGGAAGGCCTTGCTGCTGGCAGAGTCCCGGGGTGGAACAGGGCATCACCAGGCAAGAGACGGGGAGTGCACGTGAGTGTCTCCTCTGGCCTCTCCCCCTGCCTCATAAAGCCACTTTATCTAGTCCTGGTCACCTCTCAAAGCCCCACCTATGGACAATGCAGTCAGATTTTCAGTGTTGTCCATACCCCCAGTGGAGATTGAATTTCAACACAGAAGCCCTTGGGGGGACTCTCAGACCACATGCAGACCCCAGCACCCTGGGCTGGGGACCTGGGTCCCACCCTACTGATGTTACATTATGGGATGGTGCCCAGGAGGCCTCCTCTCCCAGACCCCTGGAACTGGAATGCCACCAGCCATGGCCAGCATCCTGCTGAAGCTCCCAGGAACTTCCCACGGCCTCCGGTGGGGTGAGGGATGGGGGATTATGGGCACTGGAGGACTGACCTGTTGGGCAGGGGGCGGGTTTCTGAGAGGTGGTTCTAGTTCACGGAGTTTGCCCATGGGTGACAGAAAGGGAGAGGGAGACCTGTTGGCTCTGGAATAGGACGGAGATGGTGATGCAGCCTCCCACCCTCCCTCCCTCCCTCTGTCCCCTGTGTCGGGTTCCCCTCTCCTACCCTCAGGTGGGAGCCACAGCAGAGCCAGCCTCACACTTACCAGTTACTCCAGGGACTCCAAAGCGGGAGAGGTGATCTGTCCTTTTGCCTTCCTGGCCCAGCCTTGGTCATCTGCCCATATTTTGGACAAACCACTGTGGTGGCCAAGTGGACGGGCCAGATGTGAGTGACACAGCCATCCGTGTGGCAGGGGTGTGGTGGCTGTCCTGTCGTCACGCAGCACCACACAATCGTAGATTTGGAGTAGGGGAGGAGCAGCTCCCAGAGGAAGGACACATTCATTCCCCTTAGGCCGTGGGAAAAGTCATTGAACACGCAGCTTTTGTTTTCCTGTCAACACAATCCCTAATCCTAATGACACTTTGTGGGAATTAGAAAAAAATTAGCCTCTTCCCCTAAACCTTTCACTACCATCTTCCAGAAAATCTTCATCTGAAATATACTAATCTGTAAAGACTTCAAATGGGATTGGTGTCCAGAATTGTGCAGTGCGCAGCCCATACAACTGAACGAAGCAGTCGTGCCCCTTCATATGTGGTCATTCCCATCAGAAAGGGTGTTACTCAACAGAGCTTTGGGCAGTGATGAGGCAGAGACCAAAGGTCCAGAGGCATAAATGGGAGTGACAAGGGCAGGCATCGGGCACAGCAGTTAAGATACTGTCTAGGACCCCCACATCCCATATCTTAGTGCCCAGGTTTGAGTCCTGGCTCCGCCCTCATCCACCTTTCTGCCAGTGCACACCCTGGGAGGCAGCAGGGGACGTTCAAGTACTTGGTTCCCTGCCACCCACGTGGGAAACCTGGAGGGAGTCCCCTGGCTCCGGGCTTCAGCCTGACCTACCCTGGCTGTTCTGGGCATTTGAAGAGTGAACCAGCAGTTGGAAGGTCCCTTTCCCCCTCTCTCCCTCTCTCCTTCTCCCTGTCTGTCTGCCTTTCAAAGAAATAAATTTTAAAAATGGATATGAACGGGCCAGCACTGTGGCATAATGGGTTAAAGCTATGACCTGCAGTGCCCACATCCCCTATGGGCGCCACTTCAGGTCCCGGCTGCTCTACTTCTGACCCAACTCTCTGCTAATGCGCCTGGGAAAGCAGTGGAGAAAAGCCCAAGTGCTAGGGCCCCTGCACCCATGTGGGAGACCTGGAGGAAGCTCCTGGCTCCTAGCTTTGGCCTGGCCCAGCCCTGGCTGTTGCGGCCATTTGGGGAATGAACTGGTAGATGGAAGATCTGTCTCTTCCCCACTCCCCCCCACCCAGCTTTTCAAATAAATAATAAATAAATCTTTTTTAAAAAATGGGAATGAAGGGGCCAGCATTGTGGTGCAGTGGGTTAAGCTATGCTTGCATTGCCAATATCCCCTGTTGGAGTTCTGATTCAAGTCCAGGCTGCTCCGCTTCCAATCCAGCTTCCTGCTGGTGTACCTGAGAGGGCAGTGGAGGATGACCTAACTACCTGGGCTCCTGCCACTCACATGAGAGACCAGGATGGAGTCTTTGTAGCCATTTAAGGCGTGAACCAGCAGGTAGCAGATCTCTCCCCGCCCCCTATCTCTCTGTAACTCTACCTTTCAAATAAATAAGTTGTTTTATTTTTTATTTTATTTTATTTTATTTTTATTAAACAGGCAGAGTTAGACAGTGAGAGAGACAGAGAGAAAGGTCTTCCTCCCATTGGTTCACCCCCCAAGTGGCTGCTATGGCCAGCGTGCTGTGCTGATCCGAAGCCAGGAGCCAGGTGCCTCCTCCTGGTCTCCCATGGGGTGCAGGGCCCAAGCAGTTGGGCCATCCTCCACTGCACTCCCGGGCCACAGCAGAGAGCTGGACTGGAAGAGGAGCAACCAGGACAGAATCCGGTGCCCATATGGGAGCCAGCGCTGCAGGCAGAGGATTAACCAAGTGAGCCATGGCACAGGCCCTGTTTTATTTTTTTAAATACAGATAGAAATGACAGTGGCTCCCACCCCCCTCCAGTGCTGGCAGAAAGGAAGGGAGCAGTAAGAAGTCAAGGGGATGCTGACCAGCAGCAACGCGACCTGGAGCCACGCAGGGCCGGTTGTGTGAGAGGGACCCCAAGAAGCAGCCTTGGGAGACAGCTTGGGAAGGCTGAGAGAGGAAATGTTTGCTTTTCCTCTCGATGCTGGAGGAAGCAGGCCCCTGCCAAGAAGAGGCGGGGCTGGGCAGATGCTTGGCTATAAGTCACATTCGTGGTGACCCTTGGAGGGAAAGGCCAGGAAGCAAAGCCGGAGGAAGACGGGGGTCCCCATTGTAGACAACACTCATAGCCAGGTTCAGAAAACTCACCTTTGGGGCAGGCGTCTTTGCCGACCAAGACACCCGTGTACCACATCAGAGGGCCCCGTTCCTGACTCCAGCTTCCCACTAATGCAGACCCTGGGAGGCAGCGGTGATGGCTCCAGCAGCTGAGCCCCTGCCACCCACCTGGGAGACCTGGAGTGAGTTCCCAGCTCCTGGCTTCTGGCCTGCAGCTTTGCCCCCACCCCCGCCAGCCACTGTGGGCATCCGGGGAGAGAACCGGCAGAGGGGAGCTTTGTGTGTTCCTGTCGATCTCTCACTATCTGTGCCAGTGCCTAGAAAGCACACCTCCGAGGCTGTGAGGGGGCTCTGGGCCGGTGGGCGTGGCCTGGGCAGCATCGAAGATGTAGGAAGTTCCAGGCCAGACAGGCACTGCTCAGACCCAGCCAGGCCTGGCCCCCAAGGAGGGGCTCGCTGGTGACAAGGCGGTGTCTACAGGAGACAGTGCCCCTCCCTGGGCCTGGGGGCACCTGCTCCCCAGGCCTCCTTGGGCCCCTCTCAAAGTCCAAGCTCGGCTCCCTGGGGGACACAAGGCAGCAGCCAGAAAAGGAATTGGCAGGGGTGGGCCTCAGATGGCCAAGGCTGAGTGTTTGAGAAGAATGGGGGGCAGTGCCAGACGCAGGGGACTCCCATTCACACAGATTCTTTGGGGCATGTCAAGATGGCTCCACTAGGGGTCACCACAGCCCAAGGGTGGATGGTGGGGGAGGGAAGGGGGCTGAGGCAACCTCCCCCCTCCCCTATGACAGCCCCTCCCTAAGCTCTCAGGAACAGTTGTGGAGCCAGTGGTGGGGTAGAGTGTAGACAGATGCCCCTGAGACTGCTGTGTAGCCAAGCGAAACAGCTGGACGTGCGAGTGCCAGCTCACGTGTGTTGGGTGTGTGAGACGTGCCAGCGTGGGTGTGGGTGAACAGCCAGGCACGGCCTTGAGACAAAGCTAGTGGTTCCTATCGGCAGCTTGTGTTCACGTGAACAGGGGTGTGTACGTGGGCCCAGACCGCTGCATGGATATAAGTCACATGTGTCAAAATACAAGAACACAAGACTGCGGTGTACACACAGTGTACATGCAACACGTCTTGTGTCTTAACACGTGGCACGTGTGTTCCTCTGGACATGGATGTGCGTATGCGCCTAGGGGTCTTCAAAAACTCATGAAGATTGCATATAATGAAAAGTCTGTGCCTGGACTTCAAAATTATTTTTGCACCCAAATAAACGTTTAATTTCATTTTTCCACTAATTGTTGGAGGTGTCCATGTGTAGGTGTGTATAAACACACACACACACACATACACACGAGCCTGCTGTGGGTGATGGGGCATGGGAGTGGGTTGATAGCAGTGGGAATGTGTGTGGGGCTCACACGGGTGGCCAAGTGTGCAAGATTGCAGCATTCGTGTGTGGACCGAGTGAGCGTGAGCCCGCGTGTGCCTTAGGAGTGTTTCAGGGCATGGTGTGAAAGGATTTGGGTGTGGGAACAAGCCTGCGTGAGCTTGGGAAAGGAACCGCGTGTGGGGGCTGATGCGTGTGCCCCAGAGCATGTGTGCACACGTGTGTGAATGAGCGAGTGTGTCACAGTCTGTGTCGCTGCTGGGCCCTCTGCGGGCCCGGAGTCCGAGCTGTCCCCGGCTGCGCCCAGCGCACCCCCGAGAGAGAGAAGTGCGGCCAAGGCTCCCACCTGAAGATTGGCCCAGTCCTCAGGTTTCACTCATGACCCTGTGACATCAGCGGCAGCAGCTGTCCCCGCCGGCCCGGCCCCCCAGCCAAGTCCCCCAGAGCTCCAGCCCGGCCCGAGGTGGGCACGGCTCTGCGGACTTGTCAGCCTCTGCTCTGCTCCCATCCGCCAGTGAGTACTGTGCCCCTCCAGCCCGCCTGGGCCGGGCCCCTCAAAGGCAGCCCCTCCCCACGCCCGGGCCGTGCTGGCCCCAACCCCAGCCTGGCTCTGAGGAAGTCGCCACTTGGTTCTGGGCACCTCCTGCCCACACCAGGCTCCACCGCCTGCGCCCGGGGCCCCGCTCAGCCCAGCCGCCCTTGCCAAATCTCCTTGTGCCTTGAGCCCTCTCTCTGCCCCAAACTTGCCTCTCCCTGTCCGTCCTCTGTTTTCTCTGCCCCCACCCCACCCCCCGCTGTCTGTCTGGCCGTCTCTGCCCTCAGCAAGGGTCCTGTCCCTGGTCACAAACAGCTCCGTGGCTAAGGCTCCTCTCCAGACAGGGTGAGCCGAGGGACGGGGACCGGGCTGTGCTGGCTCTGAGAGGAGAGTGAGGAGCCAGCACGGGTCTCAGTGACTGAGCCGGGCCTGCTCAGCTCAGAGGCAGGGGTGCGGGCGGAGAGTGGCGGGAGGCGGGTGGGGGTGGCGGCGGCTCCTTTGCTCGGCTGAAACAGGAGTCTGTGAGATGCCAGCAGAGGACACAGCCCAGCCGCCGCCGTTCTGCCCACCACCCCTCCCCTCCCCCGGCCCACTAGGGCCCGGCTTGGCTCTTTGCTGAAGATGTCCCAAGCTTGAGCTCTGGGAAGGGGAGGGGGCCAGAAGAGCCCACCCCCACCCCCCAGGAAGGGGACAGGGACAGAGTCAGCAAGCTCAGCTTGAAGGGAGGAAAATGGGGCCACAGCACTCAGGGAACCCTGGGGGACTGGAGGGGCAGACCGCAGCCCCCTCCCCCTTCCGGCACAGCAGGGCACAGGGAGCTGGGAGGGCGGTTGGGCCGGCGGTGTGGGTGGCTAGGCCCGGGCAGAGTGGCGGAAGGTGTGTGTGTGGCGCTGTAGGGCTCTGCGGCAGAAAGCGGTGGCTCACCATGCGGCATTGTTCAAAGGACTGGGAAATCCCCGGTCTGAAGAGCTGGAGGGGCCCTGCAGGCTGGGGAAGAATTCCTGTGTGCTCCCATGGGAGACTGGGCCCCTTCCTTCCCCACTAAGTCCAGCCCCCTCTCCCCGCTGCTGGGGCACAGGGTCAGGGCAGCGGGGGAGGCCATGCCAGAGGGCTCCTGAGGCCCCACTGTAAGGAGGGGGCCCCCCAGGTGGGGACCCCAGCATGCCCCTCCCACCCGTGGCACCTGCAGTGGAGGCGGCCTAGTAACAGATCTCCCTCAGCAGACAAGGGGCCTTCGCGGCCCCAGCGTGACCAGACTGGGGAGGGAAGGGGCTGAACTCCAGAGAGGACAGTGAGGTCAGGGGCAAGGTTGTTGTCACTCCTCCATGACCAAGGTTGTGGCCGCGCCAGGGGCTGAGTTAGGCCCAAGGAGCCCCCCATGGTGGCAGAGAGTGGAGTCGGGTGTACAGGCTGGAGGTGGGAGGGGGAGACCTGGTTCTCCCAGGGCCCTCTGGGTTCCTCTGGGGACATCCCCAAGTCCCCTGCCTGTGGCCCCCAACTTCATTATGTGACAGCAGACAGCTGTGCTCACCGTATTCAGAACCTCATCACCTGTGTGAGACGAGATAGCAGCTGGGGTGCCTGGGGGCCTGGGGCACTGCATCCCGCAGGGCACTGGGGCAAAGGTGAGCTGAGCACGAGGGCTTGAAGAGCCCCCAGGCCACATGGGGGGGCAGCCCCTGCCTCTGGGCCTCCATAGCAGCCCCAACCCCCACCATCTTCTCCCCTTGCCTGGGATTTTAGGCGAGTTGGGAGAGTCACAGAGGGTCCTTCCTAGGTGGCCACTGACCCAGCCTGGCCCTGTTTGTCATTTCTGGTTGGAAACCTGCATAGGGTGGGGACTTAAGCCCCAGGGGTCACCTCCCTGAGCGCCAGGGATGGCTGTGTGGGCATTCCTTGCCGGAGCCCCCGACCCAGACTCCGCTCCGTGCCGCGGCCCAGGGAAGCCCCCTGACTTTCATACCGAGAGACAAAACCCCAAGTTAGGTATCGGGGGGCTTCTGAGAAGGGCCCTGCCTCCAGGGGCAACTCTGACCACCAGGGAGAGGAGAAGCGTGGGCAGCATGAGCGGGGGCGGGGGCTCCTCTCTCAGGAGACTCAGGTCCAGGGATCCTGTCACTTACCCGGGACGCACGGCCAGCGAGTGACTGAGGCTGCCCGCCCTTCCCCAAGGAGGAAGCTGACTGGTGCAGGGCTGGGTGGGCGGCAGGTTGCAGAGGCAGCCCTGGGCCGAGCAGGTGCAGGGTCTTTCTGGTGACTCCTGCAGGGACCCCCACATCCACTCCGCGGTGGCAGGGAGAAGCCAGGTCTCCCTGTGACTCCGTGAGAAGGTGCGCCTGGGGCAGGGGGTCCCAGGCTGCCTCCTGCCCCACCTCTACCTCCACCGCCCTGCCCGGCCCTCCGTGTGCACTGGCCCCCATTCTGCCTCATCAGCAGCAGCTATTTTTGTTCCCTGAGTTTTCAGTCAACAGCCCTTGTTGGGGGGATGGGGCCGCAGGAGGAGTGAGGGGCTCAAGCTCTGAAGAGCAGTGTGGGTGGCTGGGGAGCTACCAGGGGCCCCCATGGAGCCCTCTGCCAGCAGCCCTGGCATAGGAGGAGAGGGTGAAACCCCAAGAAGTCACCAGCCCCCACTCTGCTTTTGAACTGGTTTGTAAAACCGGGCGTCGCCACTCACCCCACAGGGCCTAGGAGGACCCAGTCTGGTTTGTTCCTGGGGTGGCCATCTAGCCTCCTGGTTAGGGGCCAGGGTCTCTTTCTGGAGCCCTGAGGCCAAGCCCTCCAAGCCATGCTGGCTGCATAAACTGCATCTGGTGAGCGCCTTCCCTCCTCCGTGCCTCAGTTTCTTCATCTGTCCTACGGGCGGATGGCGACAGAGTCGAGTTTGTTGAATGAGCTCATGGACAAGGAGCTGGCCGGAACAGTGCTGGGTACATGGTCAGCTCTGCCATGCCCAGGCTGTGGCCCTGAATTAAACGGCCCGTGGCGGGGATAAGGGGAGGAGGAGGAGCGTGAGCTCCCTCCAGGGCTGGGGAGGGGGCTGGTACACACACTTTTTTCTCCCTAGGGCGAGGGTCCTTGTATAAAGGGAACTGCAAAGGCCCTGCCCTGAGGGCCTGCTCTTTGCAGGGTTGCTGAGAAGCACAGCAGAGGCCCCAGCTCGCCCCGCTGCCCTTGACTCTCACCCTTCTGGGGACTTGCAAGTTCTTGGTCGGCCTTTGGAAGAGGCTCTCCAAAGAGGAGCTGGCGAGGAAGCAGGCCCGCTGGTGCAGCAAGGTTCTCGGGCCGTAGTTGTCTCCAAGCAGAAGTGCGGCCAGTGGCCTCCCTGCACTTCAGGTTGTAGCCAGAGAGAGGTGACCATGACCTCAGCTCCAGGTGTTTCCGGCTCAGAAGGCTCAAAGCCCAGCCCACTATGATGGTTGGGTGTTGGGGGAGGGGATGGGGAGCTGGGTCAGCCCCAGAACCCTCCAGGCCCCGGTCAGCTTGGAAGAGTCATCTCGCTGGCCTCTTGGAGGACCCTGGTCTGGGAGGGGCGGGGTTTAGAGGCTGCAGAGAGAGGAAGACAGAGGCGGGACCTGTCCTAGGGTGAGACCAGGAGAAGTGGGCAGAGGGAGGGAGGCAGTGCCGTGTGCAGGCTGTGCGGTGGGCTTAATGTGAGTGGAGGAGAGGAGGTGGGCACCCCAGTCTGGGGAGGAGAGCATCGGGGTGTCCTGGTCTTGTTGGGGGGTCACGTCAGGTGCTCCTTAGAAAGATCTGAGCAGAGGGCAGGAAACTCCCTCCCGACCATGGGTGGAACGAATCAGCCTCCCCACGCTTTGGAGCAGCTGGGAAATGACTCATAGAAGTGTGTGTGTGTGTGTGTACACTCATGAGCAGGCTGTCCTGGGGGTTGGAGAGTTGATTGGAGCCAATAAAGACCAAACCTTGGGCCAGTGCTCTGGTGCAGTAGGTTAATCCTCCGCCTGCAGCGCCGGTATCCTATGTGGGCATTGGTTCTAGTCCTGGCTGCTGCTCTTCCGATCCAGCTTTCTGCTATAGCCTGGGAAAGCAGTAGAAGATGGCCCAAGTCCTTGGGTCCCTGTACCCACGTGGGAGACCCAGAAGAAGCTCCTGGCTCCTGGCTTCAGATTGGCTCAGCTCTGGCCCTTGTGGCCATTTGTGGAGTGAACCAGCAGATGGAAGACCTTTCTCTCTGTTTCTCCCTCTCACTATCTATAACTCTATCTCTCAAATAAATAAATACAGTCTTAAAAAAAAAAACTTGAACCTTGAGGAAGGTTCTCTACCAAACTGTTGACCTGTTACCCCCACCCAGTGTCTGCACAGCTCCCAACAGACAGCCTGGGAGGCCTAAATGCAGTCCCGCCAGGGGCAGGTGCACGTCCACCCCAATCCAGGCCTGTCAGGCACTTGCCCAAGGACTCTGGTCTGCCCTTTTTAAAAAAGACTTACCCATTTATCTGAGAGGCAGGGTTACAGACAGAAGGAGGGAGAGAGAGAGATAAAGGTCTTCCATCTGCTGGTTCACTCCACAAATGGCCGGAGCTGGGCTGATCCGAAGCCAGGAGTCAGGAGCTTCCTCTGGATCTCCCATACAGGTGCAGGGGCCCAAGCACTTGGGCTGTCTTCTACTGCTTTCCCACGCCACAGCAGAGAGCTGGATCAGAAGAGAAGCAGCTGGGACATGAACCGACGCTCATATGGGTTGCCAGCGCCTCAGGTAGAGGCTTAGCCTGCTACACCACAGTGCCATCCCCTGCCCTTTTTTAAAAAGAAAGATTAGGGTCAGGTGTTATGGCACAGCTGTTTAAAGTCAACACCATGAGCCACAGTTCCAGTCCCTGCTGCCCAACTTCCCATCCAGCTCCCTGCTAATGTGCCTGGGAAAGCAGCAGAAGATGAGCCAGGCAGTTGGACCCCTGCATCTATGTGGGAGGCCTGAATGGAGTTCCAGGCTCCTGGCTGGAACACAGCTATTTGGG